ATGTTTGAACATCCCTCATTAATATCTGATTTTATCAACCCAATGATTCATACTAATAATGAAAAATTCCTTTATAAATTTTATTATGAAGAGCATATTAACAAAATGAATAATAGACACTATTCACATAATATTAAAAGATTTTCATCCATTAAAATAGGTAATAATGATTTTATGATAGAAGTCATTAGTCATGATGACCTCACTGTATATCAGAATAATAAAAATAAATATGACATTGAACTTGTTTAAAATTTATTTACTTAAAACATATTAAATCTCTACAATATGATGATCTGAAACTAACAAACTTGTATTCCAAATTAACTCTTTGTCACCTGTCTATCCCTTATTAAATTTATACACCTTGCAGTTTTTAAATTTATGCTCATTAAAATCTTGATATATTATTCGATCATATGATTTATATCCTCCTTTACCATCTTTAGGCATAACAGAGGTATCCTAATTATTACCTATACTATATACTAAACCTTTTCTTATTAACCCTTCATTAAACTCTGATGTTAATTTTCTAGTAAAGTTTGCATTAAGATCATCTAAAATAATTACTAGGTTTTCTATAAACTCCTTGAGTACACTAGAGTAAACTTTTTCTATTAATTTCATCATTTCATTATATGCATTGCTAGGTTTAGTATGACACCCAATTAATGTAATACTATCCAAAACTATCTTTTTACCACATAATTCATACTTTATATTATCAAATCTAGCGATTAATAGAGGTCTAGTAATCTCATTATTAACTGAGTCAAAAATATATGATTTACCCAATACCTATTTACTCTTTTTGTAAAGATAGAAATATTTTTCTCTATCTGAACTTGTTATAATATAATCATAATTAGGTTAATATGGCATCAATCTAGTGATAAGAAGTTGGTCTGATAAATGTATTTCTTGACAAAAAATTATATCATAACATTTTATGATAGTAACAATAATTTTTAATATACTTAAATTGTTAATTTTTTTCGATTCAAAACATTTGATATTAAATGATCCGATTAAACTAACGTTTGGACTTAAATTTGGTAAAGGACTATGTAATTCTTTTTCACATGTTATTAAGTATTCATTTAATGCATCTTTGTTGTTTATATATGCCCCTTGCTTTTAGGTTTTGATGATGATTTAGGTGTTGATTAACTTGGTACAGGAGGTTTTGGCTTAGGTTTATTTGGTCTATCTGAGTTATCATGATCATTTTTAGAAAATGTTTTACCCAAAAGCAGATTCAATGCTTTCTCAATTATCTGAAATGGAAAAAGACATCCTCGCTCTTTATGGTCAGTCATGGTTACCGCTTTACTGAACAGAAGGGTTAAATATTACTGTTTTTATAACCGAATCTCAGATTGCTCACAAAGATACTAAACCAAATTCTAATTCAATGTATAATTAAAGTGTGAACATGTGTTCAATACATTTGTTTGATTTACATTGCATAACCTTTTAATTATTTAAACTGAATAGACAGTGTGTTTTTCGAACGATACTATGAATCAGATCAGGATTTCTGGTTTCAGATTTAATTATAATAAACACTTTTATTTATAACAACAAATAAAAATAAAAAAAATGAAACACACATTTTATTATGGATAATTATAATTTTGTATGATATTAACACAATGGACATTATAAACTAAACTAGATTATTTACAATTAATTTCTTTAGATGAGATCATTTCTAGTCACCCCATGTTATCTTCTTATCTGAATTTATATGATTCTGATAATTGGAATCTATAACAGTACTATTAGATGACTAGTTTACTAGATCCTCATCATAGCAAGCTTGACTTGTGTTATGAATTTCCTTACAAAATTCACAATGAATATCATTGAGTTTTATTTCTTTAACTTGAGTATTAATAGCCCCCCTTTTTTTCTTATAATATGATATTTTCAATGTCATGAGTTTAAAATCTTTTGAGATTTTTTTTTCACAAATTTTAGATGTTTAGATATAGCTTGTTTATCATACTATCAGTTATGAAGCTACATTTTTTCTATGAAGAAACCTTCTCATTTGATGAATATTGAACCAGAAAAGTGAGACCACAAACATATTCGCACTTGTATTCACTGTCCAACCATTTACATCTTGAACAGCAAGTGTGAAAACTGAATCTTTTACATAACGCACATGGAATTCTTTTATTCTATATATTTTTAAGAAAATTACCATTAATTTTAATATCATTTACTAAGTTGAAAAAGGTTTCAGGATCAATGTGAAATTGTGACTGGAATCCTCTTATAAAAAATTATTGTACTGAAATGAATTCATTTCTAAGAGGTGGTGACGGTAAAGGTGTGATATTACAATATAATGAATATTTACATGTCAAAGGTTTATATTTGTTTAAACGTGCCTGGAGCATGTCAAAATAATGTCTAGCATCATCTCCACATAAAGAATAAATAAATTTTGAGAAATCAGAATCAGAAGTTAAGAATATAA